TACTTTTACTTAAGTACATTTTTTGAGTACTTTCTCCACCACTGACTGTTAATACTTACACCTCTGGCAGTTTGGGTCCCTTCAGGATGGTCCCACAAAGCCCTCTCACATAGCTGATGTCAACATTATGGAAGTTCTGGCCAGCCTAAACAAGAGCGAAGTAATACAGCTGGATTATTACCACAGTCTGTGGCTGTGTCACTTTCATCATGGGGAAAAAACACAGGAATAGTCTCACAGTCCAGGTGGTGTTGGCTTTGTTGATAAGGTGGATCAGTTCTGAGGAGAAGGGAGAGGGATTAGGTCGAGCCCAGGCAACGGACCCCGCCACCGCGACACAGAGCAGGAAGAAAGGATGCATCCTGAATAACAGATGGCATTATTAGTTAATGGGAGAAACATTATTAAAACACCTCAAATCATAAAAAGAAATATGATAATTGTAGCTGTAATTACACGCTATTTACTGTTCCAAGTGATGCTAGCTGTTATGCTTATTTTCTCTGATTAAAACCAGAAACATGTAGTTCATTTTATATAGGATGACACCATTTCAAAGAAGTCAATTACTGGATAACTTTCCAAACATTGAATTATTAAATTCTGAGACAAACCAGTGCTGTAAGTATTAATATGAATAAAAATTATTTCAATATCTACAATTCTAGTTACAAGAGCAAAAAAAGACATCTCAAATCAATGTCCTCCTACCTGAGTTGCTGTTTCAAAGTGGAAAGCTTCTCTTCACCGCTATTTTCGTTCCCGACAAAGGACAAGGTCTGTTGCGGTCCTTTATGTGAGCTGCAAAGTCATGGAATCACATGTTTATGCAATAAATGTATCATAAGTGTTTGTCTCATGTGACCTGAAAAACTCCAAAGGTTAACTATTGCTCTTGGAATTAGCACACAGGTGAGAATAAAAACTGAAATAAGCAAACCCATGCAAGTCCCTCTTTATTTTGAAATTGTATGGATCTCAGTCTTCTGCTTTAAAATCTATACCTCTGCTAAAAAAAAAATAAATAAATCATTAGTATTGTTGATTTACTTCTAAAGATAAAGCAAATCAAATATATTTTCATAAATCTCATGGAACAACAAAAACAAACAATAATTTGCTATAGCTTGCCTCGTAGTGGCCATGAGATTGAATGACGATCACCTGCCTTCCATAAATCTGAAGCAGCTTCCAATATTTAACTTTTGCTTTACAATTATTGTTAGGTCAGTTTTAAGGTCGCTCATGACTTAGACTTAGCATTATATTAACAGGGCGTCATGTGCCTAAAAACCAGCTGTAAACTTGATTTATTATAATCCATGCTGCTGTGAAAAATGTTTTGATGTTACAGATTTCTTGCTGTGGTATCTGGTAATAAGTTTCAAATTGCTAAAAAAAAAAAAAAAAAAAGATTCTGCTTAGCTGAAATTTCCACGTACTGGAGGATTTTGAGGCATGAATGGACTGTTTAAAGTAATACCACATATCAGATTTAAGCTCAGACTTTGACTAGGCCACTCCACCATCTTACTTTTTGGGTCACACAGATGTGGACACACATATATACTAAAGGTCACTGTCCTCCTACAGACTCTAACTCCAGTGTGCTTTAGCTTGAAGTCGCCCACTAGAAATTATCTTTCAGGTTCCACTTGTCTCACAAGTCTACGAAAATGTTTGTAAGTCTTCGAATCGTTCAGACATTTCTTGTTTGGAAATATGAAATAGGCCCTTGTGTTAAGCCACAGTTTAAACGTTGGGACTGTCTCAGGGAAACGTAAAACAGGAAAAATGAACTGAACTTTGGGAAGGGAGGTGTGTAACGTCTCCCTTGTTCGTTTAGTAGCCGGGAAACACAAAGTTGGTGAAACAGAGTAGTAGCTGTGAACGTTATTGGTTCAAGTTTGCATAAATTTGACTACTCAATCCACAAAAAATAAAATAAAAAAATAGCTTCCAGATGCATTATTTATTTGTAGGTTCATTTTAACAAGGTTCTCCATCTTTGACTCAAATAAAACAAAACAGAAGTGCAAGCTTACTCTGATTTCACACAGATTGCAGCCTTTAGCTTCTTTATTTCTTCAAATATGTACAAATGAAAATGACACATTACATAGCAATGTTTGTAGCCCTCCTTTGGTTCTGTACAAAGTCACTCTGTGCTAGCCTTTCACCAAAGCTGGTAAGGACACTTTGCCAATAAATTTCCTTTTGTTCAAAATAGATTTCACTTTATTCCATTCCATTTCTTTTTTTTTTTTTTTTTTTTAGTACATGACTGATAAAATTAGCAGAAAGGTCTTTCCCACATATTGTTGAATAAAGTCAAAACTGAATGAAACAGGAAATGTTCTAAATCGGTTAATGGAATATGTCCACGTGATCCAACAGTGCAAATGCTGACGTACTTTCAAGTGTCTCTCACAGTGAGGATTCAACAAGAACACAAAAAAGCTAAAATTTCAGAAAACAAAAATCAGTGAAACTTCACAAAGGTTGATGGCTGTTCTCTAAGATCCTAAAATTGTCCTTTTGCGGTAAACACAAAATGGATGAGAACGTGTCAACACCGCAGAATTTTTTATAGATCAGGCTGCAAAAAGAATCCCAAAGTTCAACAAGTCTGTGGTTCTTCAACAGCCGATGTGAGACTTCAAATGTGGGAAGACGTTCCTCAGGTTTCCCAAGGAAGAGAAGGACTAGATGTTCAGGAAAAGACAGAGTTTGTTTTTGTTTTTTTTTTCCAGTCGGGAAGAGAGTCACTGCATGTCCCCCGTGCCCTGCGCCTGGGCAGCTGTCGTACTGAGATACTGCCAGCTCAGCGCTGCCAGCAGCATGGCAGCCGACAGGTACATAGGAGACAGGTGGTGGTTCCTGGAGCTGAGGTCGGGTTGAGGAAGGGCCGATTTCTCCTGGATCACAGCCAGGATGTGCAGCGTCTTGTCCCGCGTCGGATCGGTGAGGGAGACCTTCTGTAAGATCTGCAAAAAGAGAGAGGAAGTTGGGTCAAGAGGGTCACATGGCAGAAGCCGGCAGAGAAAAGACTGAGGGAACCTGCAAACCTCTTGGCTGTACTGGGCGATGATGCTCTGCACTGCCCTCATGTTGGTGGCTTCCATCATGAGGGTGACAGCCTGTCCCTTTCTGATCTTCACCACACCCTGAAACACCATCGGGTTGTTGTAGCACGTTGAGAGGGTAGCTATTGCCATCACCTGGTTGACAGAGGAATTGCATCTTTTCAGTCGACAAAAATCAAAGCGCTTGCCTGAATTATCATCCCAAAAGAAGATTTTTTTTTTTTAATGCATGCCAGAAATCCATTTAACATACATATACATAAAAAACAGTATGTATTTGGGTGTCTGATGTAGCTACTTCTGTGAAACCAATGAGAAAAACATCAACAACTCTTGGTATTTGATTCTGGGATTTTTCAAACAGCTAAAATATCCATAAATAAGGAGGGCAGATGTAATTAAACACTGTTCCAGACAAGAAGTCTGTAAATTATTTAAAAAGTGAATATTTCTTAGAAAGAAGAGACTTCTGGTTTTATAACGGTTTCCAGGCGTCGTAGAAATCAGCATAAAGTGTCAGTCCCAGTGAACTCCCCACTACGTTGACATTGCAACTACTTTATATTGCAGTAGCCATATTACTATAAACCAGTAATAATGCTTACTACTGGTTTTAATGTACACCAATTAATTTTGAAAGGTCAGTTCCAAATCTACAGAGAAGTTGATGACGTCAAACCTTTCCTTTAGTTTAAAGTACCTTTAATGAGATGCACAAAGAGTGAAACACCTGGACATGAAGTGAAACCACCACATTATTTGAGTAGCAGACCAAATGGTCTTTACTTGTGGAATGGCGCAGAAATTGAAGACGCTTTGGTTGCGCAGCCGAGACAGGTAGGCGATGACGTCGGGGACGTGACGCAGAGCGTCGGTGACCAGCAGGTTGAGGCAGGACAGAGCCGACTCCAGCTTCTCGGGCTGGGCTAGATCCTCCAGACGGCTCGCAAACTGGCTCCACGCCTGCACGGCGACACAAGAGAGATGCCATTTACAACATTTCCTGCAGCCAACGTGTCCCTCGGTAAGAACTGCAGCTTTTTTTTTTAACCTACGTACAAACTGCAAAGTGTTAACAGTGGGCAAAAATGAATCGCCTATATGTCTAGTGATACTAATAAACGCTTTACTTCAATTCAGTGGGCATCTTTTGTAAATGACTCACATTCCTGAAGCCAATAAAACTGCCACAACTGCAACGCCAACAAGCTCAATCTAACTGGATGTTTTTGCTGCTGTTGTTGTTACCTCTTTTGGCCAAAAGGCCCGTCCCTCCTGAGTATCTTCCAGATAGTCTCGGATGATGTTGGTTTTCTGCAGGAACAGGCCCATTGAGTTTGCCAGCTCCGTGTCCCGTCCCACCTCTGGATCCTCCAGCTGGGAGGCAGAGAAGAGCCGCGACAGACCGATGCCGACGAGACCGGCAACGTAGTGGCAGTACTGCACGGATCAAAAAAGGACACACAATGAGGCTGTTATCGTTACAACGAGGTACTAATAATACCATTGTGGCTGAAAGGTCACCTTACATTGTCCCTGGATTAGTCATTAGTTCTCAGCTTATTACACATTTACAATCATAGGGACAAACACTTGCTGAATCTATTGTAACTTTTTTTCCTAGAATGGAAAAAAATAACAGTGTGTGTGGAATTCAAAACATGCAAGATTAAAGATAAGGCAGTGATCAGCTGCCAGCACAGTCTATTGCAGAACCTTTATAATAAAATCAAACATGCGTAGGAACCCATTCAAAGTCATTTATATTGCCGTTTTGCTTCTAACATGACTGTGACACATGGATGACACTTACCAGGTCCCACTCCTTCATGGATCCCACCTTCTTCTCCAGAAATTCAGCCATCCCGACTCCCATCCGCTGGCAGATGTCACAGATGACGTCTCTGTATTCCTGAGCAAGGTTTCTAAATTCCAGTGATATCTGGGTTCAAACAATCCAGGACAATCACAGTTACTCTTAAAGAACTGCACTAATGCAAATGCACATAAACTCTCTTATGCAAGAAATCCCTCTGCAGAGGTTTTAATGGCTTCCTTTGTGCGTGCATGGGTGCCGCTGACCGTAGGGAAATCCTCCAGAACTTGACGGTCCTTTTCATGGCTCTCAGTGAAGCACCACTCCTCCTGGTACAGGTACGTGTGGAAATTGTTAAGCATGGGCACCTTCTTCTCCAGAGGGATGGTCATGTCGTCCTCAACTGTGTCCAGTGCACGAAGCACCAGGTAGAAGATGCAAACCGCATGTCTGGATCAAAATAAATAAAAACAAAAAAAAAAAACTTGCAAGGTTACAACTACGAAGTTTAATGTGTTTCATTGGAATTTTATTTGACAGACCAAAACAATCTGTTAAACTGTTTGTTTAAACAGGAAACGAACAAACCATTTAGATATTTTCCCTTTAATATTTACATAATTTTCAAACAATTTAAATAAATGATTAAACCAGTCCTTGAGAAAGGCATATTGGGTAACCGTGAACTGATGGTTTGCTGCAGCCAAATAGGATTTTACAAAGCAATGTGCAAAGTACACTCTAATGACTGTCATTTAGGATAGCAAATAACTGAAGAAGTTATTGATTTATTGGGGCTGTTGACTGTTTTATAAAAGTTAAACTGATCCAACGTGTCCCCCAGGAGGAGCCGACAAACGCATTGCTTTTGCAGACAGACAAAGGAGCTGCAGATGTCTCGACATGCCTGAAGTTTTATAGTGAAGGACTCAATAAGGCTGAAATACACGCAAATCTACCTTCTCGATTCTTTATATTTTCCCAAGGGAAGACCCAAGCTGCAGCCATCATGCTATGGAACATTTTGCAGACACGCCTCTCCTCACCTGCAGCCAGCTGAGCCCTGACTCACCTCAGCTCTCCGTCCAGTGCCTGAATCACGGCCGCAAAGCTCCTGCTGGTCTGATTCAGATACACGTAGCAGGTCCGTAGGCTGTCGCTCATGGACTCCTGGCAGGAGAGACAAAGAAAGGCCGTTTGTCGGTAGAAACCCGCGGCTCTGAGGGCGCTACTGGGTCTGGTGGCCTCCTGCAGGCCCCTCTCCCCGCGCCTCCTCCAGCCCTGCAGGACGGACCGAGGGGGAGCGGAGCCGCAGCCTCGCGGCGCCACCGAGAGAGAGCGCTTCAACACGGACAGAGAGGCCGGACATTTGCAGCAGGCTCCGGCCATGCGAAAACCCTGACGGGAAGAGCCCGAGCCTGCAGTTAGGAGACGACACGGTCCATGTGGAGGCCACGCTGCTTGGGGGAGTTTCAAACTCCCAGTCCATGTAGAGGACAAGAGAGCGGGGAGAGGGGTCGAAGCGCGTTGTAAAATCTCTTGGAGGGCGTGAGGTCGCTCCGCAGGTCTATAAACAAGCTTATCGCTGCATTAGCAGAGCGGAGCTGGCGCAGAGCGTTTGTAGATCTGTTGTTATGATCAGGCACACTTCCCCACCCCCTCTAACCCAAAACACGAGCAGCTGCAACGTTGTTTCCTAATCCAACTTAAGGAAATATTACCGTTTAGATCAATTTAGATCTAACGCTGGTCATAAAGACATATAGGACGCACTGCTGCAGGGTTGTAGTATATGCTTTTATTAATCGAGTTCACTGCAAAACGAGTGTTTATTTCTGCAAAATGAATTATCGAAAAGCAGAACTAAGAGGGTGGGGGTGCGGGTGGGGGGGTGCGCTTTGCTGACACCTTGTGGAAGACCGTGGGAACTACATCCGTTTGTATTTTCTTGAAAAGCAGTGCAGTAAATAAGGTTAAACAGGCTCAAATGAAACACAGGGCTCTAAGAAAACGTTCTGTTGTATTTTCAGGCGCAACTCAATAAATTCGTTGAGGGTTTTAAGAAGAGTTGTGATGGAGAGTTTTATTTACCTTGGGAATGTGAAAACATTTCCCATGCTAGCCTGAAACAGGCTGTCACCCTTCCAAACAAACACGTTTATGCTATGTTAAATGTCAACCAAAGTTCCTAACATTTTCGAGGCGTCAATAGTGGAATACAGTGGCTTACCTTTCAGTGATCACTTCTCCACATCTGTCTTTGATATCGTTAATAAAGGGAGTCAGATTGGCTTTTTGCTCTAGCTTGAAATAAAGGCCACCCAATCAATGCGATCCCTTTAGAGTGGGTTAAGATTAATTCGGATCACTACATTTGCCAGGATACATTTAGAAGGATGCAACACTCTTTGGAGCAACAGCCTCTGCATTGCAGTGACATCTATGATGCGCTGAGGTGTCAGCAACAAAAACCGGGACTCTGTTTTAAGACATTTTTGCAGCCTGTTTTTTTGTTTTGTTTTGTTTTGTTTTGTTTTTTCCAGGTCACATTGGTGTTTAAACTGTGGGATTATCATCTCTCCTTAGTGGTGAACCCTCCAAGCTCATTATGCAATTTAAATCCTACGTCAGTGGTCACCTCTGCCTGGTAAGAGCGCAGATCTAATTTGACAAAGTCCTATTAGTTGCTTGCTTCCACTCTCGACAGCGCAATTAATTGCACTGCAAAGTAGCAGGCCTACATTCTAATAGGCCTGTATGTTCATTTTATTATCATTTGCATATTTTTTGTAGCTGTTCTGAAAAGCAGAACATGACGTGCTGCATAATCCCCATGATAAATCCAGCCTCTCTATAGTGCAGCGTCTGTCTCAGTTGCGGAACGTATTTTACTCACATAATCCAACTTTGGCATGACAGCTCTGCATCCTCCCATCTTAAACTTAAACAGGTTAAATATCTCCTCCGGATGTCCCAGCGATTTCAGGATGTCCATGTTGCCTCAGGTTGTCCGGGTCTCACTCTGGCAGACTGGTGTGCAGTACCGAACAGATGCTCTCCATCGGCTATTTCCTCGCCGAGATGCAGCTGTCCAAAGACCACCATTAAGCGAATGATGTTTTCTGTCTCAAGCGCGTCATATGGACTGACGCTTACGATTGGCTGACTCCTCATGGGTTTACAGCGAAAGGTCCAATGAGCGACCAGAGCGTCTGGCGTGATGCCCCGCCCCAATAAAGTGTCATCTGAGCGCACCTTTTGATTGGCCCGTTGATCATCCGAAAGAAAAACCATACCTGCGCAATAATACTTAAATCGACGGAAGCAGGCCTGTATGGCAGGCCATTAAATCATATAATTAAACCACATTGTGGTATAAACACTTTGTATCTTTGCAACGTTATAGTAGCAGCAGCATAACTCTGGAAAGAATTAACCGCATGTAATGCTAACACTATTAACTTTATTTATTTATTTATTTATTTATTTATTTATTTAGTGTGTTCCTTGCTACATAGTCAAAAAGCATTGAGTCTGAATCCCTTCAGTGTCTTATTTTCTATTAAAAAAACAGAGGTCAGGGATATATTAGCTGTTGACTTTGTTGAATTAATGGAAACGTATTTGGTTTGGGCAACTCTTTTATTAACTAATGACTTAATTAATGGAATTAGGTCCTCCCAACAAAGAATATTTGCAGGAAGCTATTGTTTGCCCAAAGAAAACACTAAAAGTTTTCAGAGGTCATTTTTCATTTTAAAATGCAATGTTAGGCTTATATTACAGATTATTATTATAAAAACGTTAAACACACACCAGCTACTTCATTAGTGTTACTGCTTGCAATAATTTAGGAATCCACATGTGGTGAAGAGAGACAACTTGCTGTGTGGCATCAAAATGTGGAGAAAAAAAATGGTGAAAGAGCCAATTTGGGAAATTGGGTGTTTCCCAAATTCATTCTTCTGAGTGTTTATTTTCAGGTATCTTTGGGGTTTACAGAAAATGGTCTACAAAAGAGAAAATATGCAATGAGCAGCAGTTTGGAACAATAAGTCAGAGGTCAGATGAGAATGGACGAATCGTTTTGATATGACACAAAAGCAACAGCAGTTTAAATAACCGCTTGTGAAGATCTATGTGTGTATTACTTACCAATGCTGAATACACAACTCATTAAACCCTGAAGCAGATGGGCTACAGCAGCAGAAGACATCACCAGGTGCCACTCCTGTTAGGTAAGAACAGGAAACTGAAGGGACAATTTACACAAGCTCATCAACGTTTGGTGACAAAGTGAGAAGAAAATTTTGGGGTTCGATGGGTATCAATTGCAGATGATATAGTCAGATTTGGCATCTATGTAAGAGTATAAATCCATCTAGCAGGCAGTTTGTGGGAAAATTAGCTCTGCTATACAGCAGACACTCCTATATAGGTTAATAATGTAACAACAACCAGATGTTTTGGGCAATTTTTTGACTCAGTGCCACAAAAAACCTAACAGAGTGTATCTAATTGAGTGACTGGTGAATATTTATTTATTGTAGAAGTCCTGTCTTGCTATTATGTGACAAATTAGCTTGCCCCGTCATTGATACTAATTGTTATTTTAAAAGTGTCCACACACTAATAAACTGTGAAATGCGGAGAAAAAGTCAACCAAATTTAAACATGAATAAATACATTATTTGCTTTGACAACTTTGGCATAAAGGGGTGAAAAAATAATATTATACTTCCTAAATAAATGCTAATATTCAACTATTAAATGAGGCTTCAGGTAGTGTCTTGCCTCTAACTGTGGACTACAGCTTGTTGACACTGAGATAAGCTGAGCTCCCTGATTATCACGTAGCACATAAACAAGGCACACACAGCTCTGATGTCCAAACATGTAGGGCACAGACATTCAAAATAAATTTTTTTGCTTCCCATTTTTTTTGACTTCCTCCTTGCAGGCTCTCCTACACAACGCCTGGATAAACCAGCACAAACACAGAGTAGGTATACAATGTTGCACAATTGTACATGAAAATATTAAACACGCAAACATAAGAGAAAGGACAAGAATTGTTATCTTTAATCCAGTTTGACCTACATTTCAAAAATGAATAAATCAATGAAATGAGTGGGTTAAAAAAAATCCTAATGCACATACACACATGCTGGTACATGTAGATATTTTTCTATTACAATAAGGCCACATCCTGCAGACTACGGTTATTCAGAAAAATGCTGGCTGCATTACTTTCATATGTCTCAATTCCACAGTATGTCATTCAGCACTAGGCGTTGTGATAATAATCACACCCATTCAGGAGCCTATGTTTCTGTTTTGGAGTAATTGGTTTACTTGATAATCAAGCAAACCAAGTTCAGCGGAAATTCAACAAGCCCAAGCCAACAAGCTCTTTGTTTGCCTAATCAAACAAAGAGCCCTAGAAATCTACCAATAGAGATGAGTTGTTACTTATTTAATGGTACACTTTGCAAGTACCTGTCAACTTCCGTTTTCCTTCAAAACTGCCTTAGTTTTTTTTTTTTTTTTTTTGTATTATTTCAATATTCTTCCATGTTTTATTCCATATTGAGTTCCATTAGTGGCAAAAATAAGTTTATGTCTATGAGAAGTATGTAGTGCTCTTGTACAATGCATCATGTCTAAGAGTATATGTAAAGTGTCTGTTTACTGCAATGTGTCTATGTGCCACACTCAATCTGGTATTCTGACCTACAGCAGTTCAAAATAAAGACTCATGCTCTAGACATTTTATGTTTTCCATGTCAGGGTTTAAGTTCAAGATCAATAAAAAAAAATCTCTCAAAACAAAATCCAGAAACAAAACTACTACTGAGAGTAATTATTTTATGTATGTGGAACACTTGTGAATGCTTCAAATTTATCTTTATATGTATCAGTTTCAGTTTCCCACAAGTGTGATATTTATAGCAAATGGGAGCTCGTCCAGGTTAGACTGCTGAATGCTTTATTCATTTTAAAGGATCAAAAGTGTGTCAAGAACATATCCTCCACACCGTGGTGGGTCTTATGTCGGTAAAATAGCTATTAAATACTTCAAAGTGTTTTTTTTTTGTTTGTTTGTTTTTGTTGTTTAAATGTTATTAATGTTTCTGAAGTGTTGAAAACTATACATCATCACTACGTTACCCCTTGACCCAAACAGGTTTAGGTCAGCTGGTGACATGAAATAAAACATAAGATCATTCAGCCAATCATCTTTTTAACAGAAAGAAAGTTGCAGCAATAACTACAAAGCATTCACAATGACAACTAGAGAAAGGAATCCTGCAGAATGAAGAAAAAAAATGTATTAGTCCTACTGCAGGACTTATACGTTTGTCCTGCAGCATAATTATAAGAAGTGT